GTGTTCTCAATTCAATGCCCTATTTTTACTAAAACTTTTTATGTAACACTACAATTACTATACTATGCTTGCTGAGCTTAGTCTAATAGCTTTACTCTGGTTGGAAATCTAACAGAATTATAATATATATTTATATATATATGTATATGTACAACAGAGCTAGTTACTTTCTAGGATTTACTAAATAAGTAAGAATAACATGAGCCAGGCACAGGTGTTGACAACTGCATTTTTCGGAGCGGCATAGAGCGATATTAAATTTGATCATTTATAAGTCTATATTACAGCTGTTCATGAGTGCCTAATAGAGACGTTAGTTCTTGGTTTTAGTTGGCCTGAACGACACTGGCGCTGTCAGCCGAAAGCGTACTCGAACCTGGAGGATGAGACTGATCCGGTGAGACTTAAAAAATAAACGTAACTAGGTGTAACGGCGTATTTTACCAGATGCTCGTTTTCTCACTTGCAAAAACTATTTCTAGCTATTATGAAGCATCGTACCTGACCCTTAACTACAGGAGACTAGAGCAGACGCGTCCGTCCTGAGGGATTGCTGCTTATATTGGAAAATCTACGCAGTGCAAGTGGTAATCAAGTGGGTAGAACGATGTAACTGCTAGTCGCGATGAGGTAGCTTAGGTCACTAATCGGTGAAAAAAGCACCAAGGTCTTCTTATGTATGCAGCTAACGAAAGGCTACAAAGCAGGCAGTATATACAATTTTATAAGGTTATTTGTAAACGATTTAACGAAAACGAAAGCAAGGTTACGTTAGAGTAAGATTCATCTGAAATGGTGCGCTGGAGACACGTTGCGGTCTCGTCGACATACCGTTCGTTTCGCGCTGGGTAACATTTACAGCACAGAGAGATATGACGCAATCTTTGTTCATTCTAAATTGAACATTGTTTACGTTTACATCGATTATACTATAATTGTATTAATTGTCTATATATGTCTGTATATATAAATGTCTAACTATAAGAGATCCTATATTATGTTGTACCCGCAAGGCATGTTTTTTCCTAAAAATCCTTTTTTCCATACTGGAAAAACACATTATCTAGAAATAATGCTGGCCTTTTAATACGTCAATAATGTGTCAAAAATTATACGCAGCTATGTCAATATTTAGGATGGGACTAGTGATTTGTTTTGCACTCTGAACCCTATACCGATTAACACAAACATAGAGGACCACATATTGATTCAAACATGGATAAGGTACATAGGCATTTTATGTAATCGTACCGTAGACCTAAATTGCCTAAAAACCGACACATACGGATCCAGGTTATTGCACCTTCTAGCTTAACCTCAGCTTTGCATTTTTTATCTTTATGGTTATTTAGATGAAAACCCTATTGGCGTTTGGACACTTAGTGCTGTTGTATCTATTAAGCTATAGCGATTTAAAGCATGTGGGATTGGAAAACTTTGGTAAAGAATAAGGCTGAACACCTTCTACTGGCATTCTATTCTATTAACAACAGACTATATCATAATACAGAGTACTGAATGGTGAGCTGAATGGTGGACGTACTATCAGTACGCTACTAAAATGGGGTACTAACGGATACCTCATTTTTATAGACCGAATATGTGTTTTCATTGCCGTCATTCGAGCGAAAATCGACAAACCAAGTTCCTAATAACATAAAAGCTATTAGAGCTTCAAACTTTACATTTGTTGCACTCAGTTGAAAATCGAAAATGTAGTTTCATCGCAGTAGATTTTCTAGTTAGCCAACATACAACCTTAAGGGTTCTTCTATCATTTCTGTACTATGTTGCTCACACCATATGCCAAATAATAGGCCATGTGCTCTTATGGCTCTGCAGTAGCTAGAATTACTATGGTCATCCTTAAATTTTTTGCCTAGAGTAAAGCAATCCTTGACAGAGACCTATAATGTTAATTGATCACTAGCCAGTGCGGCATTATATATATATATCTTAATGGGTTGTCTGTTTATTCAATCGTCACGTCCGGACCTACTCGTAGGCAACAGAATTCTCGCTTCACTTCGTTTAAGCACTCGGGACCATGTGTCCTAGTGGCTTTGTGGTACCTAATATTAGCTACCTAATAAGGTTAACCAGGCGTAATGAAACACTCATTGTTATCTTCAGGATGACGCGCCCTGATAAGGAATATTTTTCTTTTCCAAAGGACATAATCATATTTAAAGGTAGGCTTCGACCTGAAGGTCAGCGCGTATCAACTTGAATTGGCTTTAATGCACGATTACGGGTCGTGAACGGGCTATTGTTGGGAACACGCATATTTTGAGGAGGAAGGAATTCGACGGTATTACCTGTTTGTCACTCAGACCGTACAATTATATACCGCTAATGGACACCCTGTCGTTTTATTTTGTACCAGATTTTATCGAGATTCCTGTGCCAAGAAATATGAAGACCGTTGCTCCCTCGATGATGCTATGCTCCATATACGTTGCCATTGTACGCAACTCAATATCTACCCTAGAAACAAATAAATCCCTATAATTCACAACTCTCAATAATATATGTATGTTGTGAATCAAAATTTTAACATTTGAGCAGTATCTTTCACCGATTTCTCAGTTCATCAACATCGGAATAAGATTTACTTGATGAAATCAAGTAAATTCTAATAAATAAATATTAAATAGCAACAAGTAGACAATAAACAGCAGATCGTTAGTTTCCTTGTGTATAAAGACCCGACGCAGTGACACTTTAGATGCACAATATTGTTCAAGTTCGTTTACTTTTATAGAAATACAACTGTCCAATCAAAATATCACTTTGGATTGCAAAATGTACGTTTGCAAGACTAGATAAGTTTACAAGACAAGTGCGCGTCTTAAATGTTCTACTTTGCAGAACTGTATTTAACTTTTTTTTCAAATATGCGAATTTCCTACTGACAGATATGAGATGTCGTGGTCCGTCCGTTGATTCCTCGACGGGTTAAGTAAATGGTGATTCTAGTTAAACTTATCTATCTGTAGTTTTTTGTCGCTCGTCTCAGAGCAAAGGACAACCATGCGGTTATACCGTAGCTCAGATGAGACTTAACGTGGCCTTCCATCTTTGACAGACACTAGCTATGGATAATCCAGGAGCACAGAGCCTTGATGTACAAGGACAAACGAAATTCGGTTTATTCAAATTAGTTCTCGAACCTATGTCCGTAATTTTCAGCCAGAAATTCCAATGTAAAAAATAAATAGGTGGTAAAAAAGCGAAAGGTGTGAAATGATGAAGTGAATGTGCCTAACGCTGGCAGCACCAAAAAAAGACCAGAAAATGCCGCTGTACTTAAATGGCTTTTCAAGAGCTAAATCGTTATTGTTTTCAAATTGCAAAGCTCCATCTTCAAATTATGCTATTGTATACTATCCATGTTTTTTTTTCAGGCCATTAAGGTGTTTCCCTAAAAGAATACAAGGAAAGGCTTTGTTGCTAGTACAGATTTATAAAATTTATTTATAAAGATTTTTAAGACTTATGAAAAAAAATAGCATTATAAAATACATTTATGGACCGTTGTTGTCAAAGGACCGAATAGTAACTATGGGCCTAAATGAAATGTTCTAAACAATAGAAGTTTAATTGACGTTTGCTAATCTAGCTCCCTGTATTTTACGTTCCTCTCTGAATAGGTGGACTTTGCCGTAGAGCTGCAATTTTCCATCAAGCTACTGTCAACGCATACAAAACTTCTAAAAGTAAAACCTTCGAAGCGTCGTCTGAGCGGAGTCTATGGAAGTGGAACTTGGATGAGACGATGGAAAATTTCTCTGCTCAGACACGCCAAGCCATTTAGAAGGAAAAAAAACGTTATTACATTGTACACGCTATAAATAGCACTAGGACTAACGAAGCTGGTCTAAATAGTCCTCAATCAAGTCGGGCGTTCTTGTTTTTGGCTTCTAGAAGGAGAACTACTCACCACATTCCCGACTAACTTCCTAACTTCGTTGGTTCTTGGTTATTGAAAGATGATGTCTACTTCGCATTACGTAGCTGTCGGACGTCGCAAAAGCCACTCCGACCATAGAATGGTCTAAATTTAGAAAGTAGGCCGAACTCACATCAGCTCATTATCCGTCTATGCCGTTAAAGCTTTCTCGCTGAAGAATTTGGCTTATTTCGTAGTTTTGCCATGCATTCCATAGAGTTTTATTGAGCTCGTAATTGGTCCGGGGGCAGATGCTTCACCTATCGAATACTACCATCGATAGTCCTTTGTTTGTGATATATAAGCAAAATATGAATATTGCTATAATAGTGTTGAAAAATTAAAAGGTGCCACTATTTCCGTTGGCTGACAATGGGAAGACATTGGCGGTAGACCTCACACAGGCCGACTAAAGTCAAAGATAAGGCAAATTACTAGGACGTTTAGTTTAATGAAGCATTCTATTTGGGGTTAGCAGAGGTCACGAATACGCCTTTGGTTCTTAGCTGGCTTCAGAACACAAGCCAATAAGCGCGCCGAAGCAGCGATTACGGAATGGAAATTTGACGGTCTCGAACGATCCGCCGCAGCAACGCAGCATATGTTCCACGTTAGCAAAAAGCTTGCGTTTTCTCCAAATAATGCGAGCGGATATTTAATAAATAAATAGAATTTCTATAAAAAAGCGAAACTGTACCCCCTGTCTACTTTGCACAGAAGAAAAGTCATTTTCTCAACCCGACCGTAAAGGGTACTCAAAGTCAGCATATTTAGATATACATACATATATATATATATATATATTTGGTCCCGAGTATTGCTTCTTTAGAGCTCAATTGGAATGATTTGGTCATAAATGAAGAAAGAAAGATTGAAAACCTTATAAAGTCGCTCCGCTCTAACGCGACTATAAGAGATACGTTGTAACTGGTATATACGCAGAAGACAAATGCGACTCATAACAGAGGAAACGTTTTTCTAAAATATATTCTGTCTTTATTAATATCATTGTCAGTATATGAATGTAACATATCGCATGAAACAAAAACACGTCCGCTCTTCATTTCATCACATGGCTAGCAAGACGATAATGTATATACTTTTATATAATGGAATTACGTAAATAGCATAAATAAAACACAGTACATTTGTTTAAATATGGTAAATACGTGGCTCAGTATTATACGTATAACCTTGTCATAGGATTTGGGATTGGTCTTAAATAATTTATATGTCAAGCGTGTGTTTCTAATGTGTGTATATATAATAGCTATATTCTATTTTTGCTGTCTTGAATATAATAGGATCGGTTTAAGAATAGAAAAACATGCCTAAATAGATCACCTCGCCCGGACGCAACATTATTCTGCTTTTTAACATTAGTTTTTCTTATTATGCAAAATCATTTCTTGGCGATGATTTTAAGTTCTCTAGAAGAGTAGTACGCCAGCAAGCCGATTCGATACTAACTATGTTGTTTTATATAAAGTCCCTACATCTAAGGAAACTATCATATCCTGTAAGACGTCACGGTGACGACCGAGACGTCGTTAGTTGATGCCGATACGTTCGAGAATACGTTGGCCGATGGCCCCTGGACATGAGTGGTAAACGAGCCCGCAACTCTGGCGGCGAAGAGCTGTGAAGATGGCCGAACGGTACTTGTCCATGCCTGGAATATAGGGACTATACAGCCCAACGAAATTGGACAAATACAGAAAAAAACAGGGAGGTAAACGAACTAGGAAGTTCAAAAGTGATTACGTCACAGTGGTATTTGCCGTTCATTGACACCATCGTTGTCGATAGAAATACTACTACGAAATAGTAACGTAGAAATAGATCGTCTTGACGATACGAACACAAGAAGGCGTATTCCGAAGGGCATGACAATGTAACTTTGACTCTAGTGGCATTTGCCTCTCTTCCTGATGTTACCTACCTTCCTGATGTTAATGTTAATAGATTTTACTCTAACACTGCTAGCCAAACTATAGTTCATTTAGAATTGACCATTTAGGAAAAATTCATAAAAAACAAAGAGGGTCTACGTGCAATTTCCTTTCAGATGGGACGCGTTAAGCCAGTGCTGTTCGTTAAGACACTTCGCGCTCTTCTTCAAAGCGTCAGAAGGTCGTCATCTTAAATCGTTTCGCATAAGAGACACGGATCGCGGCATAAAAGCGGCTACTACATAACTAAATACCGACAACGCGCGCATAAAATCGTCTTGACTAGAGTTTCCAGCCATTTTCGCTAGCTGATGGAGAGGTTGGACCTTAAGGGTTTATTTAGATTTATTCCTATTGGATAGCATTACAAACATTACTCCTATGACGTTTGAGGAAAGTACACAACCGTTACAGACGCACGTAACGGACGGATGAGAGTTTGGCGCGCAACGAAGACGCCATGTTCCAGCTGTCGAACATGTGCACGCGTTTGTACGTAATAGAATAGCCACACCTGACCCAGCAATTACGGATTCGATTGAATTACTCTATACATAAATAGGCTTAAGTTAGTAGGATAAAACACGATCATCGTTAAGTGTTATGGAATCCTTTCGCTCGCAGATGCGGCGCTGTCTAAGAGAAAACGGGAGATATTACTCTATATGCGAATGGTAGTTTCTATAGGTTATTATGCCAAAAATTCCCTCAGAACAAATAACTTTTTCTATATGTTTGCTTTGAGCTCAGATAGCATATTCTGGTATCGTGCAGGATATTTGCGCAAGACCATCACCGGTGCGGCCCTGTGAACCTTGCCGTTGACTCGGATGCTCTGTACGGTGATGACAATTTGATCGTAAACATAGAGGCAGCAAAAAGGAACTAGCTAAGCAATGGGCTTTTGACAACTGTCGAGTAACATGTATTGCTTCAGACGGCACCTGTGGGCGTCCTGGATGTAGTTTGCTAACAGGAATATGAAAGATGTCACGATACGACGGGTGCGTAAAATGCTTTTTCTCGCCTACCGAAAAGCGAATATGCGGCGATTTTTGAGTTACTTTTAGTTGTTTCACAGCCCTTATTGAAAAGGACAATTCTGTTGATGGCAGGCATAGTAACTGGAACTTCCTCGCCATGGCACTTAGATTCTGGTAACCGTTGATCATCAAACTGGGCAGAATATTCACTGTGAAACACTTGTTCTACTATTAAACTATAGGCAAGCTATAGACGTTAGTTTTATGGTGACTCCCATCTGTAATCAAGATTGGGCTAAAGATATTCATTTTTACAGCAAGCTTTATTAAGTTGTAACGAAATTCACAGTAAGGCTACGAGAAAAACCGTTTCAAACTTGTATCGTGTTCATGAGTATCATTCGAACATCATAAGTATTGGGAATCCGGAGTCTAAACTCTAACCTAGTCCACAATTTGTGCTTAACTTAGACCCGAAATAGACACGCAGTCCGGATAAAGTTAGGCCCGCAAAAAAACCAAAGGGACAAGAGTTGCAATAAATAGCGAGCAGAGTTTCAAATTTTTTGAAGCTTCATCGTAATCTCTATTTTTTTTTTATTTTTTCGAGGAAAACATTGCCTTAACACCCAAACAAGCGATCCTACTTATGAGTGCATTCGAATAGTTCAAAAATAACATTACTATAAACAGTTTACATACATATCATTAACCGACAAATATGGTTAATTGATTTTAGGTAGATAGATATTTTTTAAGTAAATCTCTCGGATCATATAAAAAGGTTTCTCATTTGCCCGCGGGTAGTAACAATCCCTTTGCTATTTGAAAGGGATGTTATTTACGTGGCTACTAACGATAGAACAAATGCGCTACAACCGAGTCAAGCTGCAGGCGTATGCTGTTCTTACATGCGAAAAGAATCAACCGATCTTAGGTCATTCGTTGGCTTGCACACGCATTGCCCATTGACAGGGAACTTCACACTGTTGGCGTGGAAAGCATCTGCCAAAGGTCCCATTTAAACAACCCGACGACTAGAGAGAGAGAAAGAGGTATATTCCGCTAGAAATTGAGCTAAAATTTCCCTACAGTGATAAAGGTTATATTAAATAATGAACAAATGAGTACAATGATGAATGAACAATCTTGTTATTAGAACTATTTCAACACTTTGTAGGATCTTCCTGCAAAGGAAATGGTATACTGACACTAATTGAAGGCTGCAAGTTAAGAACGTAGAAGTGTCTATAGATTGTCGCATACCTGAAGAAATTGACGATGAAGCCAGCCACGCCTTTGCTAGCTACGAATTGCTCGATCTCACAAATGATTTTCTGCTTGCAGTCGAAATTTCGAATATTGAGTACCCGGAACATTTCCTCAGGAAAGTCAATTTCGTTAAGGGTTCGTAAAGAAGAAAAAAAAGGCTCCACCGCCTGCTTAAGGAAACGCATTTCACTGGCGCGTAATTTGGCCATGGTGTCGATGTTATGTGACTTGAACGATGTCTGTGCATCACCGGTCCTGGTAGAAAAAATAACACAATGCTCATAGAAACAATGGTCCGCCATTTGTGGATGAACATTTTTTGCATTATATTAAGTATTCATATCATACTTTAAGGCTCTCCGTTGAAACGTCGTTTCAGATTCTACTGAACCATGTTAGCAAATCTATATGCCATAGCACTGAACATTGTTACGGACGTTTAATAACTAGATACAATTCTATTTATTGCTATAACAATTATTCAGATTGAGTAACTGTTCACGTACCAAAATCACCAGCTTCAATCCACGTAATCCAGTGTACGCTACAAGTGTTATAAATACAACGAGGAAAAAGGGCGTAATCTTCACTGCGGAGCAAGCGATCAAAAAGTTTTAGCCGGTAAGTAATCAAGTTACTTCTAGTTAATGCAGTCCATCATCAACTGCTCAAGAAGCACTAATCCACAGGCGGTGGTGGCAATTTAATCCCTCAAGAAGCTGTGTAGTTATCCAGTACATCCATCGTTTTCTCTGTTCAGCAAAGCCGTATGTAGCATACTAATGCGCAACAAGAAACTATATATCATTGGCCGGAATTATTTGACAAAATGATGGATTACGCTGCATATCGCAACCGAAGTCAGTACGATTCTTGTCCGAATGGCCCAGTAGGGACGCATGTATCGTACAAAGCTTCAAGGATCACGAAACTGACGGAACGCATCTCGTATAATACAAATATTGCAAAATTTTCCAGTGGTGTAAAATACGTGTTTGTTAATAAAAGAAAAATAGAAAACAAAAGCAATAGACAAAAACAGTCATTACGTTCACTCGAATACATTACTGTTTGCAAATACGACGTATGTCCAATGTATTATGTGTCCGTCCAAATAACGTCCTGATGCGAAGAACTACAGGTAGCATTTCATTTGCCGCAAGAGTGCGTTTCACTCCGCTCTGGTCTATTTGGCCGCATTCCAAAAACACGACGCTATAGGTCCAGCTGGGTTGGACAACGGAGCTGTTAGGTGATCGATGCTCAGAGGTACCCAGCAGTACCCATCTTGACTGACATATTCTATTTGGATAGATGCAGGCCTAGAACATCTCTGCCTTTAGTGCTTAGCGTCCTTCGATAGGCTATCATGACTGCAAAGCTCAGGAAATGGCTTTTTTTAAGGACTGACCAGCTTCCCTATTTACGTTGTTGTGATGACTTAAAAGGAAGGTCCACATAATGGTGCAGTCCTTAACAGTAAGAAGTTCGACACTTGTGATCGGAGATATCGTTCACATTTCTACCCTTCTCCACAGCCTGTATCTATATGATATACGCAGCTCATGCTGAACACATTTTAGGAAATAAGTATTGCAACTGCAGTAACCTCAAAGGGTAGAGTCACTTCGGTGAGTTTATTTTAAATAACTCTATGTATGCTGCTGCCAAGATCCAGACCCCAGTGTTAAGCCAGTTAATATTTTCGAAATTTTCTAAATATGCCATAATATAATAATTTTTCACATGATACGCTCATATTTTCCCAAATTTACAGTCAACAAAAGCTGCAAAATCAAGATCGATAAATCCAAAGCTGGTCTTGCCTAATAAATGTTTTAAGCTTTGTGTCCGGAATTATATTAGCATTGCATGAGACAGCTAGGCCGTACATGTTATTACCTTCTCAACAAAAGTAGTGATCTTCATTCAATCAGTTAGCAGTCCCAAGGTAATGACTATAATGTTACTTTTTGAAAAGTTTCAGCATTTAGAGATTCTTTATTGATTAGGCTTAATTGTTGTAAAGGGAAAACATTTCTCTTAGCAAGTTCTACAATGTCCTAAATAATCTATTTTGAAAGGCTTTTAGAGCAGCTTGCATATTTTAAGTTATTCCATAAAACTGAAGTCAGTCGGTACGTACAGCATCAACAAGTTTTCTCATTTTTTAATGACACATAAAAATTAGCTCTATAACAATTTTCCAGCCTGTTGCTTTCTATTACGAAATATAGGTGTAAAATCCTGTAATTTCGTTCGACGCACTAGAAAAATTATCTTTAGGTGAGGTAATGTAAATTCTTTACAACTCAATGCATCTGTTCAGTAGTTCTGTTTGACCTTATTTACTTCTTAAGCCATTCTTCTGTTACGCTTGATGTTACGGCTGCTGCAGAATGTTACGCTTCGAACCGACTAGCCTGTTTCTTATTTCTTCTTAACATTTGTTTTTAACATGAATTTCATCCACCTATGCAATGATAATTCTCCAGTTTTGATGTATAAGGACAGTGTACATACTGCAAAACCAAGCTATCTCTACCAACCTAGCGGCCGAAATTTCTAATTTCTTCTCGAAGTTGCTTTTTCAACGACGCACTTCCCCCAACGAAATCCCCTCAAAAAACGAAAAATTTCGTGTTACTTTTTTTTAATTTAGGCCACTCTTAAACCAACTATTTCGCCACACACATTCAAGCGAATTCAATCGCTTGTTTACTCACAGGTGTACAAACAACTGAACAAAGCCACTCAGACTATACTTCGATAGATGCCCTTTGTCGCGAGCCGGTAGAAGTCATGGCAGAAAGTGATGGCCTCAAATCGTGTCTGATGAGGACACGCGTCTCCTGGTCAGACTTTGTGGAATGCCGCTTAAAACGTTAAGGAAGGGTCTTATCGCACACGGATCTGTTGGTGAAGAAAGTTTAACTTTGCTGATCCTTTGAGCCCTGACGTTCTAGTAAGTCGACGAAATAGGTAGCGGCTACTTCTTTCACAGGAACAACACGGGGTTGTCGCTGAAGACCAACAGAATTTAGGGCAGCCTTTTCGCTCATTTAAAAAAGTCAGCCAGAACTGGTCGCAAGTGCTCAATAATTTTGGAACCGTCTATGGGCCAAAACCAGAATTCGCTTCTTCAAAGGACCACGACCTCCCAACTTTTCTAGGCATATTACCGTCGTGTCTCACCATGCACGCTCTCGTCATGCCACGCTTATTCTTCCAATTATTTTGCTTACGTGGGACTAAGTTCTAAGTTCGAGACTATTTGCTATCTTCAACGTCACAGGTTAAAAATAAATCATTGTTATGAGTGAAGAACGTTGATCTTCTAGATAACGCAGCGCCGCAAAGTATGTCATATTAACACGTACGAGCGATCTGATACTCGGCGCCATATCGTTTTACATACTCCGTTGGGACTGCATCAGTAGCTGACAAAACCTGTAGCATCATATGTGCCAGGTCCTTCATTTTGTCGAATCGAGTTTTTCTACTCAACTGCAACGGTGGTGTGTAATTGAGCAGTCGGGTTAATGTCTGAAGAAAGGCCTTAGCAGGGAAAACAATGGTAGTAGATTGGTCATATGCTTTCATTAGAGGGGAGGGTTTTGGGGAAGACGGACGCTCAATTGAGCCGTCTAGTTACTGTCTTTGATGTAACGATCATCGGATTGTGTTGTGAGATTAACGCATTATCTAACCCACTTAGCCTCATTTAATGCGTCCTGTTGGCCATTTGCCTCCTGCCAGGCTCTACCTGATCTTCTTAGCGTGATGGCTTAGTTGGTAGTGTGTTTTGTAAGCTGCATCAGCTTAGTACTGACGTGAGCTTCTAGAGTAACTGTTGAGAGTAACTCTTTGCCTTTTTTGTCACCTTACATCATTGTAATGGTAGCGACCGTAACTGCGTGCAAACATTAGCGAGTCTCACGCATGAAACAACACATAGCGATGGGTACCGTAACCATTGCAACAAACAACGCGTCTCGCGCCTATCTTCATTAATTAAAGCCACACATGTTGTGGGTCCATATTTCAATAAAGCAGCAGTCCAAATAGCTAGCAACCGGTGGGAAGAAGCGTAGCGTATGGTAATTCACATTGGGGCTGACATTTTCCAATGAAGGGTTGAAGCGGGCTCGCTCATGCCGCAAACCCTCTACTGAATAAAACCCGTAATAATATCTTATGACTCAGATCCGGGATGTATTCATAAGTCGTATCTCATTTAATCACAACCTAAACGGTGACTCCCTATGGCGGTGGCGAAGTCTATAGCCTTCTAATGGACCTGTGCGTGAAGAAGACCGCCTGAAACTGAAAACCTAACGACAAAGTTATTTTGCAAGTCTTAAAAAACACTAGTACATAGAGGTCCCAAGAGTACTACAAGATTGTCACACGGGCAGCACTCCTCTTGGCAAGTTTCTTGGAGACGGAAGGCAAAAGAGATACGAGCAATCTGAACAGACCCGCCAATGAATACAAGAAAAGAAGTACAGGACGAGCAAGAAAATGAGCAATCTGCCAGTCTTCGGTTGGCGCCAGGACGTTTATCGGGCTATGAATGAGAAAAGAGAGAGGAGCTAATCTTTTACTTAATGCAGTTTTTTACGAAATACGGTTTCTCTTAGAAGGAAGGCCGTATTAGACGTTTGCGTACTATGAATGGAAGGCGAAGGCGACGGCGATATCTCTCATCACACTAGCTTAGTGCTTTGCGCTGAAATACACAAGGAACAATTACACAAACCCTGGCTCTATAACTACTCCTAGAGAGAGGGCTTAGCACTTCCTAAGATACCTGTCTGTTCAAAAAGACCTGTGACCTGTAACTGAAGCTCATGGTAGAAAAGAGAAATTTGCTCAAAGCAGACAGCACCCAAAGGTTGGGTTCGCTAAATAAGCAGAAAGAATACAATTCTGCTTACGGGGAAAATAGGTCGTCTGTCGCCCTCACCTGTAGGAAATCAAGCAAGATCGCTCTGGTAGACCTATCTGTTCGCTCCAAGCAGTCTGTAGTACTGCTAATTGAAGAGTCGGACTGTTAGAGTGACTTATAAGAGAGAAATTGAGAATTAGTGGTGCTCTCGGCGGGCGTTAGATATACGTCACTCTGTTAGGCCTAGTGATATCTATCCACCTATTCACTATTACTTGAATGCTCTTTGAAAAATAGATAACATCGTATAGGTTAAGCTTCGATTATAGGTTGTATCGAAGTTGCAATTGAGCTTCGATTATAT